ATAAGGTCATGTCAAAAACATGGACACAAGTGTCGTTGGCATTCGCAAGCCTGAGACATCTTCTCCTCCATGCCTTGCTTCTGTGCCTGCGACAGAAAAACACAAGAATTCTGTCTTTCTCTCTCTCTCTCTCTCTCTCTCTCTCTCTTTCTCTCTTTCTGTCTATCTCTCACACAAATCAATACTCTTCGGTTGCCACATGTCCTCTTCGGCCGGCATCGGCTCTGGCACTTCGTTCTGCACCTCCCAGAAACCGGACCACAAACAATTTTGACAAACATGTACTTCAAACTCAAGTTGGGGAACAGCCTGGGACATCTCCTGCTCCACATCGAGCTTCTGCACCTTCGTTTTGCTCCGGGTTCAGGGTTTAGGGTTTAGGGTTTCAAGTTTAGGGTTTAAGGTTTAAGGTGTAAGGTTTAAGGTTTAGGGTTTAAGGTTTGGGGTTTACAGTTTGGGCTTTAAGGTTTATGGTTAATTCTTTAGAGCTTTGTTTCCCCCTAAAGGCTAACCACGTTTGGTGGGCTAGGTGAGCACACACACACATAGTGCTTTCCGGAAAGGATGACACACAGATAAGTTTGCTTTTTTATAGAGTAACACCTGCAGCACCTGCATCATTTCCAACTCCAGCATCTGCTCATCGGTGGGTGCGGGCACATCGTCCGGCCCCTTGGTTACCAGAAGAACGGTGCCGAGTTCCAACACTACACATGGATTGCACATTCTGGCATCAGTCTCGGTGCAAGCTAGAAGCAAGAAACTCTTCTTCATCTTGGTGAACGGATGCCTTCCAATACCAAGAAATAGTTAGTTTCGCTCTAAACATTTCAGAACAGAGTGGTATTATTATCAGTTCGGCCTGGAGGCAGCGGGAACTCTCCTCCACTGTCTTAGCCTCTTCGACCTAGAAAGCAGTACCCAGCATGACAAATAAGCCCGGTTCTCCGTGCAAGTCCAAGCCTGCTCGTCGTCAGAAGAAAGAATCATGGCCTCATCAGCCTGCAGGAGGTACTGGTTTAGGGTTTAGGGTTTAGGGTTTAGGGTTTAGGGTTTAGGGTTTAGGGTTTAGGGTTTAGGGTTTAGGGTTTAGGGTTTAGGGTTTAGGGTTTAGGGTTTAGGGTTTAGGGTTTAGTGCTTAGTGTTTAGGGTTTAGGGTTCAGGCCTCAGGGTTTAGGGTTTAGGATCTAGGGTTTAGAGTTTAGCGAGGACAAACCACCAAGCAAAGCGAGCTAGCAAATCTCCTGTTCCGGCTGAAGGTCCAAAGCATCCCCGGTCATGTCCTGCCCAAACATTCAACACGGGCCCTCTGCACATGTGCAAAGTGATACTCGGTCTTGTTGCAGGCCAGCCTCCATGGCCATGATCGCACACGGTTCCGGCTGAAGGTCCAAAGCATCCCCAGCCATGTCCTGCCCAACATCTTCAGCACAGACCCTCTGCACATGTGCAAGTGATACTCGGTCTTGTTGCAGGCCAGCCTCCACACACGAGTCACTCATGCCGTCCTGGGGAAACTCTGGAGCCGAAAATTCAGATGTGCGGCGAAAGCCCTTGTTCACAGCTCCTCGACCTCCAGGTCGCTTAACTCGATGGCTTCACTCAAACCGTCCCCGATCTGACGAATTCGCATCGATCACTACATCTTCGACAGAGCAGCATCTAGATTTAAACAAATAGTGCAAACGTGCTCAGGCTACCGAGCCCGACCTCTGAGCAAGCAGCACTGCTAGCCTGACACACTGCCACACTACAAACAAGAAATGTGCAGAGCACTTGATCCCCTGATATTCCCTGTGTAGCATGCAGCCTCCGATCCCACACTGGAGTTGCTGTTGGAACGGGTGGGGAACTCCAGATTGTTGACACGGAAGTACAGCTTCTTCAGGATTGCTACTTCTTCGCTCCTGGCCGAAAACCATGCAAGCATTATACACAGTGCATGCTGTTTTAACGAAGTCCTTCCGAAGGGCGAGCGAATGAGCAGCTTCACCAGGTAGCCCGCTAACCAGCGAAGGCGCGTTCCAACTAAATCTGACCACCCCTGCGACCAGTCAATCTTCAAGCACAGGCGGCCACACACAGCAGCCCCAAGCTCATGATCACATGCATCGAAATCCAGCCTTCAGTTCACCCTTCGAGCCCCGCTTGCGGAGCTGCTGCTTGCTCCAAAAGCCATACACACATCCGATATACAACATCGCTGCCTTGATGAAGCGGGAGCTTTTCAGCCACACGAACACTCTAAGGAAGACAAGGCTCGGACTCGGTGCTGTTTGCAGCACAGGAGATCGGCATGCGGTATGCTCACCCCTCGCATCATATGTATGACATATGCCTTCATGACTTGAAAATTCTCCGGCTGCTGGAGGTCGGTTTCCTGCACCTTTGCATCCAGTATCTTCACTATCGGATGCTCCTGCGAACAGGGAGCAAGCAACCCTAACCCCTGCCCCTAACCCCTAAACCCTAAACCCTACACCCGGAGCATGATCAAGCCCGGAGAACATGCACATGTGTCAGGCCACAGAAAGCGGCCTTGTCCTGCTTCAAGGCCTCTAGCCGGGCCTCGACAGGCACTCTCAAGCATTCCACGAGGCGAAGCCCGCCTTCCTTGGCTTCGAGGCGCTGCACGAAGAAATATGCCCTGTGACCCTGGTGGTGACTGAGAACACGAGCCCATGTGTGCAGCAGAAACTCGGAAATGAAGAAGCGAAGGGGCTGGGTGACACTCTTGCCCTTCAGCCAGACACCAGTCACACTGCATTTCCTCATGGCGTCCACTTGCTTGAAGGGAGCAGATGCGACATCTGCTTGTGCAGCAGCCATGGCAAGTAGGGAGCAACACAGTCCAAGACACTAGCACGACCTACAGGCCTGTGTTCGAAGCAACCAGGCCTAAACTTGCAACCCACCAGCTAGGTCTGCTTTGCGAGATTTGCAAGCTGCCCTAGGTTCGACCAGCCTGAACAAACCCCTTTGCACAAGCCATGTGAGCAGTCACACCTGCAAGGCACCATGCTGCACTGACATCACAAGAATGCTGGCAATCCCTGCATAGTAAGGCAATTACATAAGCGAGTGGGGAAGGAGGAAGCACCTGCTTTGCTCTTCTGCTGCTGGTGCAGCAGCATATGCACATAGCCCGGCATGCGAAGAAGCCAAGCTTTGCCTATTTTTAGTTGCTCGCTGCCTAGCTAGCAAGCTGCCACAGCAACTCTCAGCCAATTTGCTTGCTCCTGCCTACAGCAAACCTTCACTGTGCGACACAAGGATGCCTGCTAGTTGCTGCACAGCCACTTAAACGGTACGATTAATGCTTCGAAGCAGCCCTAGCTACCAGCTCAGCCCCATAATTTCCGTGCTTTGCTACACACATGACTTCACCTGCGAGCGGGCACAGTTCAAGGAATCACAGCACACCAGGGACTGTCAAGACTGCCTACAGTCTACTAGTATCGCACTGTCAATTATAAGGACAGCGGGCCCAAACGAGGACTTCTTGTAGAAATGCCTGGGGCAAGTATTTTTCCCTTACCCTCGCAATATTAAGATGCCGGGGACAAGTAGCCGTTTGAAACAGCTACAAGCACTGCGAAAGTTCAAAAGCCGACTGCAGTCTTGTGGGGGGGCCCTGAACCCTGAGCTGCCGCAGCTGGGTCATTTCTCGGGCCGCCCTCCCCCCCCCCCCCCTGAGCTGCTTGACATCGAACACTCAACAATCCTAAATGCTAGGCCCTAAACCCCCACCTCATGTACAAAATCGTAAACCCCTAGCCCTGAACCCGAAAACCTAAACCACAAACGGCAAAATAGTACAAAACTTGTTCAAAGGCGAAGTTTCATCACTAGATTCCAAACACAACATGATTCTCGGCCGACGTGCAATTTGAACTTTTCTGTACATAATCATTAGGTTTCGAGCCGGGACACCACACCATGAAAAAAGGCAAGTGCCATTATGGGCGAAAGTGCTCTCTCTGCAGAAAAACAGGCACATGTTGCCCATATCAGCATCTGGACCCTTTGGGTTTAGGGCTCATATTCACTTATGATCGTCGCGTGAAAGCAGCTCTCTACTATACGGGGTGGGAGGGATGATCAGTGTATCGGAGTGCACGTTCCTTTGATGGCCTCACCGCTGTCAATCGGATCACGGGACAAACTCGTCCGCCATCGTTCAACAGTCTCGGAGGGGGGGGGGACGACCGTAGTATAGAAATTAGGTGTTTAGGAAGTTAGGTTCCCATCTCTTCCATTAAAAGGGCGGACCAGTTATGTCGTTCAACCCCATCCCCAAAATCCCGGAACCTGCCCTAAATTCAACACAGCATCCTGATCCTTCAAACCCTACACAGCATTAAGAGGTTCATGGGTATTTAGAAGTAGGGTAACTAGACCTCTAGCCTTACCAAGGGTACCTACTACAAAACCCTAAACCCTAATAGGGTTTAGGGTTTAGGGTTAAGAGTATAGGCTTCCAGGATCAGGCTGTCGGATTTAGGGCTTGGGGTAAATTTTAGGATGTAGGGTTTAGGGTTCATGGTCTTGGAAACCCTGAACTCTAAACCCTCTACAACCTGACCCTGTGCCCACACTGGCGGTGCGGGGGCGAGGGCTCAGGTTTCATGCTCCAGGACCCATAGTTTAGACCCTAAGCCCTAACCCCCCGCTTAGGGTTTCGAGGACTTCAGTTGACACGATCTCCTCAACTCTGAGCCCTGGAAACCCGAAACCCTAGTTCAACACCACAAGCCCTAAACCCCCACTAGGGCCCTAGACCCTAAACCCTAGTTCACCACCGAAAGCCCTAGACGGAAACCCCAAAGCCCTAAGCGCCCTGCAACCGCCAAAACTGCAAGCCTTGGGAACCCTAGTGATAGGGTTGAGGGTTGAGGGTTGAGGGTTTAGGGTTTAGGGTTTAGGGTTTAGGGTTTAGGGTTTAGGGCCCTAGTGTGTTGAGGCGCCCCAAAGCCCTGCAACCCTCAAACCCCATTGAGGCCATCCTAGAGGATGGGAGTTTCCAGGAAGACCCTGGCGGCTTTCTCCACAAGCAGGCCTTGCCGCTTGGGTTTAGGGTTTAGGGTTTAGGGTTTAGGGTTTAGGGTTTAGGGTTTAGGGTTTAGGGTTTAGGGTTTAGGGTTTAGGGTTTAGGGTTTAGGTTTCAGTTCAGGGTATGGTTGAGTCTAAGGGTCATATGGGCCCTTAATATGGTCCCATACCTCCTTTAAAGGGTTCTGAAGTTTGGGCCCGAAGATTTCACTGGGGGTTTACGATGTTGGGGGGGGAAATGATTGGGGTCCTTATGATAAGAGGACCCTACTATTTGGGCGGTCTCTTGTATGGGGTCCCCTATTTTCGTGAACCCCACACTAGATCCCGCAGACCCACCCGCAGAGAAGGGCCCTCGGATTCTACTCTTGAGTAGGGAGGGGGGGCCATTATCCAAACGCATCATAGCAGTATGACTGTGGCCCAAACCCTGAAACTCTAACTCCCTAAGCCCTGAACACCCTAAAGAAATCCTAAACCGTAAACGAAACCTGAAACCCTAAACCCCACACCCGAAAGGGCCGTGAATCCCTCAAACCCTTACGCCTGAGTCAGGTGGGCCTCGGCCAGGGGATCGGCCTGAGAGAGGCGTGCGCAGGGTTTAGGGTTTAGGGTTTAGGGTTTAGGGTTTAGGGTTTAGGGTTTAGGGTTTAGGGTTTAGGGTTTAGGGTTTAGGGTTTAGGGTTTAGGATTAGGGTTTCCGAAATTAGGGTACCTTATTTGGGTCCTTAGTAGAAGGGAATTCTACCATTTGGGGGTCTTCGATTTTAGGGTCCCCTATTTTGGGGTTTAGGATTCAAGGGGGGTTGACGAACACAGGGGACCCTTATAATGGACTCCCAAATAATATCATTCCCTCATAATCTGAACCCCAATAAGGTATCCCCTAATTTCAGAAACCCCCAAATGGTCAGTGCTCAACGTGATGGCCCCTTTTTGGGTACCCAAAATAAAGGGGACCGCCTTCTGATGGAGACCTAAAATCCACCATAAGTTAGAGAACTCGCCCAATCCAATTTTTTGGGATTCAGGGTTTAGGATTCAGGGCCTGGAGAGCTTGAGGTTTTAGGGTTTAGGGTTTAGGGTTTAGGGTTGAGTCTAGGCCATAGAAGGTTTCAGGGCTTAGGGTTGGCCTTCACGGCGGCCGCCACAAAGTCTCCAACGAGAGGGCAAGCAAATGTCAGGCTACCAAAGTCGCTGAAGCTCACGCCCTGTGTGTGGCTGACTCCGACTTCATCCGCCATCTTCCCGGTTAAGGCTAAGGTTTCGAGTTTACCCTTCTCCCCCCTGTGGTTCATTGGTGGGTTTGAGGGTTTCTCTCCCCCCCTGCTGTGGTGGGCAGGGTTTTGGCGGGGGATACCACTGGGGGGGGGGGGGGTCCATTACGCGGAACGCGGGCGCATATAAACCTTACAAACCCTGTAAACCTTGGAAACCTTATAAACTCTGGACTCTGGAAAGCATATAAACCTTATAAACCCTTTACAAACACTATAAACCCTCTAAACCCTGTAAACCCGAAACTGCTTTGATTGCAGACACAGGTGCCCCGACCACAGCTGCCTGTTGCTGAAGGCGGGGGTCTCGGGTTAGGGTTTCGGGTTAGGGTTTGGGTTGGGAGGGATTTAGGACCCTTAATGTTCAGGGTTGTAGGGTTTGAGTTTTGGGGCTTGAGATTTAGGGCCCTCAGGCTTTCGGGGTTTAAGTTTTGCGGTTGAGGGTTTGCGGTTGTTGGGCTGGGGGTTTTGCATTCATGCAATATTTGGGGTATGCAGCTTGTGGGCGAAAGCAGTGTAGAAGCATCATTTTGCAGATGTTGATTCTGCGAAGTGACCCCCCCCCCGAACATCCCAAACATCGCCTGGGAAAGGGGGTGATCTGTGGTTTTGTTTGCGCTGTCTGTGTGTGTGTGTGTGTGTTTTTTTTTTTTTTTTTCCGCGTTTTCTGTGTCTTTTTTTTGTGTCAGTTTTATTCGGACGTCTCGAGGAACAGCTTGCTTCATTGTGTTTTGTCGCGTCATGTGTGTCTTATATTTTGGCGTTGTTTTTGTATCGTTATCCGTGCTTTTTTGTTCTCCCTAAACCCTAAACCCTAAACCCTAAACCTTAAACCCATAATACAAGCGCTGTGTTTGTAAATGGGGGAGCTGCGCCCCCCCCCCCCCCCAAAAAAAAAACAAAACCTTAAACCCTGAACCCTAAACCCTCAACCCTAAAGCCCTAGACCCTAAACTCCCTAAACCCTGAACCCTAAACCTTAAACCCGAAATACAAGCACTGTGTTTGTAAATCGGCGGAGGGGGGGGCTGCCCCCCCCCCACCCCCCGCTTCTCCCCTCCTTCCCCCCCCCCCCCAACCCTACACCCTCAGCCCTAGACCCTAAACCCCCTAAACCCCCTAAACCCTAAACCCTGAACCCTAAAGCCCTAGACCCTAATCTCCTAAACTCCCTAAACCTTAAACCCTAAACCCTAAACCTTAAAGCCATAGTACAAGCACTGCGTTTGTAAATGGAGGGGGGGGGGGGGGGCTGCACCCCCACCCCCGCCAACCCCCCCGCTTCTCCCCTCCTCCCCCCCAAACCCTAAACCCTCAACCCTAAAGCCCTAGACCCTAAACTGAAAGGGGGTGATATGTTTTTCTTTGCATTATCTGTGTCTTTTTTTAAGACGCAGCTAACCCTCTGTGGAAGCCAAAAGTGTGACGCGCTGCAGGAAACCCACACGAAAAAGACACAGACAGCCAAAAAAAAAAGCAGACAACCCAAAACAAAGAGACGCGTATCACCTCTTCTCCCCTTCCCTGCATCATTGAGACCAGAGAAGATGCTTCTAGGACTAATTATCAGGGGTCTTTTGGTTTTGGGACAGGGAGTCTCCAACTAGCCTGCAAAAGGCCGTTAAAGTTCGTACAAGCTAGACAACCAACCGCTAAGTCAGAGAGGGGTTTAGGTAGGGGGGGGGGGGGGGGGTTGAGGGTTTAAGAACACCCAAAGGATCCATGTACCTATATAGTATATACTTGGGCCTTAAAGGGATTCCTATATGGTAGCTTTAGGGCCCAAGTATATACTATACAGGTACATGGATCCTTTGGGACAGAGGGGAGGGAGGGAGAGGCTTGGGGGCAACCAGGCGGAACCTCCAAGGCGCAGAATGACAAGCAATAGAACATCAATCAACAATACCCCCAACCCCCAATTTTAATACCCGAAACCGAGACTCTGAACCCGAAACCGAAACTAAGCCCCCCGAAAATGGCAAGGGAAGATCTGGGCGCCAGGTCAACCGGCCGCAGCCGGCATGCACCTCTGCCGCAAGGGTGCTGACACCCTGAACTTAAGCCCTGAACTACCGGGTTTCCAAAGGGCCCAGAAGGGTTTAGGGTTCAGGGTTAAGGGTTTAGGGTTGATGATTCAGGGTTTAGGGTCTAGGAAGATTCCTTAGACCATGAAGGGATCTTTCGTAAGATGTTCAAAGCAGATTTTCTCATTGAGGGGTATTGGGCTCGTTGGGTTTCGCTCCGGGCAACACATCAGGGCTGAGGGGGTTCAGGATTTCGGGTTTAGGGCGACCCCAAAAAGCCCAGGGGCACTCGTAGGTTGCTTCTGCGGTTTAGGGTTCTTGGTTCTGGGTTTGCCCGGTGGGCTCGACCTGAGCATACAAGCTTCATGATGCCATAAGAGCCAAATAGCGACGCTGCCAGTGATGATGATATTCATCAAAACATATGTAATGTGTGTATATATACATACATACATACATACATACATACATACATACATACATACATACATATGTATATATATATATACAAGCTTATGTAATATGTGTTAAATCATATATATATATATATGTGTGTGTGTGTGTGTGTGTGTGTGTGTGTGTGTGTGTGTGTGTGCGTGTGTGTGTGTGTGTGTAGTGTTCTAGCAAGAACTGTAGTCATATGTTTTTAGCAATAACAACAGCTCAAAGCTGTAGTTATGTATGCAGGAAGGTTGGCGCGGGGTTGGCTTGACACTTGTTTATTCCTAGGGAGAGAAGGCCCTCTTTCCCCTGTTTTTGTAGGGGGCGGGGCGGGGGAAGTCCCTGTACAAATCCCGCTAGCCGCTAAACCAAAAAGGGTACCCTTTTAGTCCTAGGTTACTCTTGGGCACGGTTGCCCAATACCGGTTTTGAGGCCTGCGTCGCGGGCTGTGGACGCGAAGGCGGCGCGAAAGGCACACATGCGACCATGATATTTGTGGTCAGAGCTCTGAACCCTAAGCCCGAACCACTAAACTCTGCACCCTAGACACATGGGTTGCAGGGTTCATGTGCAATATATCGGCCTCAGCTAGAACGTCTTGTAGAGTGTTCAGTGCTTGCTTCAGTCAAGTGGGGCTTTCAGCTCGGTTAAAGATTCGGGCAAAAAAATTGGTTGAGGGTCCCATTGCACCCCGCTTCCTCCTTTAAGCCCCTATATAAACCTCAAGCAGTTCACACAGCAAGACCCCCAATGTACTAAATCCACAAATGTACCCCAAACTAGGTTGCCCGGCCCTTAGTCCTAAACCCCATGTTTCCATACATACATATATATACATTTCCATATACCCATATTATATGCATGCATGCATGTACATGTGCATATCTGTATATTTGTATATCTACATCTATATATGTATATATATATGTATACATATATATATATGCTCACCCCCCCCCCCCCCCCCCAATGGACCAACCGCCAAATGGAAACGAAGTCCAAAAGTCCAAAAATCCAAAAGTCCAAAAATCCAAAAATCCAAAGTTCCCCGGACAATCTCCCAGGAAACTTTGGAATTTTGGATTTTTGGGTTTTTGGATTTTTGGATTTTTGGGTTTGTGCTTTTTGTATGCTTTTTGTGTTTTTTCGTGTTTTTTGTGCTTTTTTTGCACTTTTTGCACTTTTTGCACGTGTTTGCACTTTTTGCACTTTTTGCACTATTTTGTGTTTTTGTCTAATTTCACAATATTTGTGCAAATATTTGTCCTCTTGAATGTGCTTTTAAAATCCAAAAATCCAAAAAACCAAAAACCCAACGTTCTCCGGACAATCTCCCAGGAAACTTTGGATTTTTGGATTTTTGGATTTTTGGATTTTTGGATTTTTGGATGTTTGATGATTTTTTTTTCGCATTCGAGGTTGGCTCATATTCGTTATCCTTTTTTTGAGTGAAAGGAGGGCGACCATTCAAATGTACCCTTATCAGAATTTCAAATGCGTCCTACCTGCTCGAAACCTGAACACTACATTCATAGCACAACTAAATAGCATATTCAATAAGATTTTGAATATGCTGTTTCTGTGTATGAGGACCAGGTAAAGTCTTGCCTATTCAAATCACTGAGAAAAGCACGTACGTGGGTTATGCACAGGCCTTTGCCAAGGAGGCTTTAACAGAGAAGGCCTATATGTGCAAATATCGAATTTGTGCATTTGAAAGAAGCTGAAATATCCTTTTTTTTCAAGAAGAACCATTCTGGGATCACAGTACCAGCTGTTTAAGAAAAGTCTATATCTCATGAACACCCTTACTTTGCGATAACGATTTAGTTTTTCTGATCCTTTAATTCAAGCTCTTAATATTGCATTGCCCCCCTGTGATTCTTACAGTAAAGCCTGCTCGAATCTCATTAACGTCTTAACTACTCGCTTGAAAACTGTATCAATAAAATCCTAAGTAGCCTGTTCAAAAAGCCAATAAGGTTTTGAAAATATCCTACTCAAAAAGCCAACAAGAGGTTGAACAGAAGAATTCAAGACAGTAATAGGGCTTGGGTCCAATACAGGGCTGGTGAACTGTCCACTCTAAGACTTCCCCTGGTGAAGTGAAGTGTCCATTCCGGGTAGCACAGTTCACATATTGGTACAAGAACCAGAACATGTGGACAGTCACGGAGAGAATGCTGCGCGCTTTGTTTGATAAGTAGGGTTGAGAAGGCACGCCACTCATCGTTCAGTCTTGCTGCAAAGCAGAAACTCACCGACATCCAAATTTTGTATGCAGATCCTGCGACCAGAGGCCACACCGCGAAAGTGAAAGGGTGCCAGAGTGCCTGCACAGGTATAGACTAGTGACTAGTGGCAGCTGTATAAGCATCTTACAAGCAAAGAAATCCCAAAATCCAAAAATCCCAAAATCCCAAAATCCAAAAATCCAAAAACCCAAAGTTTCATGGGAGATTGTCCGGAGAACTTTGGATTTTTGGTTTTTTGGATTTTTGGATTTTTGGATTTTTGGATTTTTGGATTTTTGGATTGGAAAAGCACATTCAAGAGGACCAATATTTGCAAACATATTGTGAAATTAGACAAAAACACAAAAAAGTGCAAAAAAAATGCAAAAAAGTGCAAAAAGTATAAAAAAGTGCTAAAAGTTCAAAAAGTGAAAAAGTGCAAAAAATGCAAAAAGTGCGAAAGAGCAGAAAAAACACATAAAGCACAATAATACACGAACAAAAACACAAAAACAAACACAGTAAGCACAAAAAGCACAAAGAAGTAGACAGGGAAAGCATGGCAGGGTGCAGTGTCTCGAGAACCTTAGACATGTCGATGTGGGTCCATGGGGGTTGGAGGTTGGTCCATTGGGGGGGGGGGGGGGCGAACATATATATATATATACTGGGCTTGGTGGCGAACATCCTTTCACTAGAAAGCTCCTCCCCACCAGTCACTGGAGCGTCTCGACCTCACGCAGCTCCGAGGCCAGGGGAGGGAACAGCCAGAGGGCCGGAGGGGATCATGTCTTCAGGGTTTCGGGTTTAGGGTTGAGGGTTTGGGGTTTAGGGTTTAGGGTTTAGGGTTTCCGGTCTAGGGTTTAGGGTTTAGGGCTTAGGGTGTAGGGTTTCGGGTTTTGAGGCTTCTTAGGAGCAGGACGGATCAGACGTTTAGAATGCAGGGTTTAGGCTTTCTGAGAGGAGAGAGGGGATTCGAGCCCCCCAACCCCGAAACCATGGTCTCAGCGAGGTTCGAGGCCTTCGTTCACCCGAAGTTTAGGGTTTAGGGTTTTAGGATTTAGGGTTTAGGGTTTTAGGGTTTAGGGTTTAGGGTTTTAGGGTTTAGGGTTTAGGGAAGGGAGCGAAATGAAGAGCGAAATTAGGGCTTGCAAACCTGAGCGAGCACTCAATGATGAATCGGATCTTTGTCCTGGACTTTTGTGTTCATGCCCGAAAGCTTTGTAGCACCTACTATAAAACATTCTCTGTTGGATGCAGAGAAGACAACGACATGTAAGGAAGTGATTCACCAGGTAAAGACTGAGCAGTCACCAGATCGTCTCGACCACTAGAGAAAGTTGTAGTCACAAATGGCTTATCTGACTACTTCGTCTTGACTTGGAGGATCATCCTGTTGCATCTTTGGGGAATTTTCGTGGTCTCAGTCTCTTATGGGAGAGTCCGGTATGTGTTTGGGGCGAACTGTACCCCGAAATGGGACTTAGAACTGAACCCCCATTTGGGGCCCATGCTACTCTTGAAATGTGTGATACCCCCTAGTCGGACCTCACAATTCCCTTGTAGCTTAAGAACCCTAAGCCCCAACACCTACACCCTTTGTTCAAGAGATAGGTCCTGATATGAACCCCCCATGCAGCCCCAGGATTCCAAACCCAAACCCCAAACCCATTACCAAGCAAGAGAGGGTACCCTTTTCCGTGCCCAGCTCGGGGGGGGACCCCTGAACCCCAGACCCTAAACCTCCAACCCTAAACCCTATAAACCCTACAAACCCTATAAACCCTATAAATCCTATAAACCCTATAAACCCTATAAACCGTATAAACCCTACACCCCAAACCCCAAACCCCAAACCCCAAACCCCAAACCCCAAACCCCAAACCCCAAACCCCAAACCCCAAACCCTAAACCCTAAACCCTAAACCCTAGCGTGCATTGAAATCAGCCTGTCAATGCTTGAGAGGCCACCTCAGCTGCCCGGACCCTTGCGTGCGTGCCTTAGCTCTGGGGGCCCGTGAGTTCCGAAAGTGCAGGGTTTAGGGTTTAGGGTTGAGGGTTGAGGGTTGAGGGTTTAGGGTTTAGGGTTTAGGGTGTAGGTACGGCGCCTCATATTGAACGTACCCCAAAAGGGATCAGAATTTTGACAGCCACCCACATGGGCCCTTAGCATGGCCCCTTTCCTTCCTTGAAGGGGTTCGAAGTATGGCCCTTGTTTTGTATAGGGTATCTAAAGGTTATATAAGGGTTCCAGAATTAAGGGCCCATACCAAGGGCTCATGTAACTACCCCCAAGAGTGCAGGGTTGTCGTTCCGCAGAGGAAGGGGCGGAGTTCTAAACGTTAAGCAGGCGGACCAAATGCCTCCCAACATGGCTGCAAATACTTCTAGTCGGTTCTACCCCAACCCCTCGATGTGCCAAGTAACCCCATAAACCCCCTGACGAACCCTGAACTCTACACCCCCCTACCCTAAACCCTAAACCCTAAACCCTAAACCCCCTTCCCTGCCAATTCTTCGCGAGGTTGCGGAATACTTCGGTCACTTTGCACCAGCCTCAGGAGAAAGCAGTAGTGGGCTTGGGGTTTATGGTTAGGGTTTAGGGTTAGGGTTTAGGGTTTTAGGGTTTTAGGGTTTTAGGGTTTTAGGGTTTTAGGGTTTTAGGGTTTTAGGGTTTTAGGGTTTTAGGGTTTTAGGGTTTTAGGGTTTTAGGGTTTTAGGGTTTTAGGGTTTAGGGTTCAGAGTTCAGGGTTTAGGGTTTAGGCCTTAGGGTTTAGTTAGGAGATTGGGGCATGGGGTGCTTGATACCCGCCCAAAGCCCCTGTAAGGGAATAGAACATAGGGGGCCTCTCTCCCGTAAGTAGGGGATGGAATGAGGGGACGGTATCTCAGGGACGCTCGGAGTTATGGCTTCTTTGTGGACTACTTGCGTTAGAGTTTAGGGGTGCATCGGGCAACAGGCTTCTGGGTCCCGTGTAGCGTACCTCCCAGCATCTGTCCTTAAACCCAAGACCCAAGATAGAGGTTTCTGAGCGTTTAGGGTTTAGAGCTTAGGCCGCAGGAAGCCCTTGGCAAAGTTCCTATCTGGGCTTTATGTTTGCGGGGTCTGGCCCCTTAATGCACTCCCGTTTAGTTAGGATACCCACGTGTTTTCGCCAACCACATGGGCTAAACCCGACTCCCTTTATCATGGGACTCTACCTTGGAACCCTGCGGTTGTACCCTTGGGTTTGGAGACCCTTTGGAAAGATCCTCTAATGGGAACATGCGGGCCATATTATTTTCAGCGGAAACTTTTAAGGGATCCTAAACCCTAAACCGTTGCCTAAACCCTAAACCCTAAACCCCTTGAGACAACCTTTAGCTACATCGGAGTCATGTTGGGAGGTAGTGATGGATTCGCGACCGGGGCCATGATGGTCCCGATTTCTCAATAGGGCCTCTGAGTTTAGGACATTGTGGTGTTGAGGGTATGAGTTTTGGACAGAGTGGTGTTGAGGCTATAGTGGCGTTGAGTGGTTTTGAGGGCTCAGCCGGTTTCAGTTGCTGCATGTGATGGCGACTTGAGCACAGGAGGGCAGCAGGCCTGGCATAGCCGGCCGACGAAGTCTGCAAACGAACCGTCCAAACTGAGTGCTGCTCAGGGATTTGGGAGACTCCTACGAACTTTCGCAATATCTGCGCACGCATGGTTCTGGGTCATTTCCTGGCCTACATGAGGTCTTTGGTCGAAAGCTTTCGCCTGCCCTAAGAATCCCCCCCTGCGGCTTGAACCCTGTAACCCCTAAGCCAGGCCCGGAATTCTCGCCCGAAGCCCCAGGGCGCGACATCCTACCGACTCCCCTCTAAACCATCAGGGTTTAGGGTTGCTCCCGAAACCCTAGGCCCGACAGCCTAAAGACCCGAAACCCTCAACCCTAAACCCTAAACCCTAAACCCTATGACAATAGAGGTGGTTCTGGCTCACCTCGAGCACCTCGCGGACATCAGCAGCATCAAGCGACGCCGGGAGAGGCTGGAGTCTTGGGGGCTTTAGGCTTAGGGTTTAGGGTTTAGGGTTTGGGTTTAGGGTTTAGGGTTTCGGGTTTAGGGTGTAGGGTTTAGGGTTTAGGAGTGCAATAGTATTCTTAGGCAGTTTAGGGAGTTGAGGGGTATTCCCGTGCGAGAGGAAAGAGAACTCAGGGCACTTCCATATCCCTGTACCGAAGAAGAGTCGCGGTCGCGGTCGCGAGTCAGTTCATGGGCAACATCGGGAGCTGAGCCCAGCAAAGGTATCGTTTCCCGAATCCGGCCTTGATTGCGTACCTGATCATTGACACGCCTCCGGACTGGATCAAAGACATGACGCAGAGCAAAGTCCAGCCCGAGGTATATTGGGTTTAGGGACTGGAGAGGTTTACTTGGGTAGTTTGGGTTTAGGGAGTTGAGGGGCATTCTTTGGTAGTTTGGGTTTAGGGAGTTGGGGGGGGCATTGTTTGGTAGTTTGGGTTTAGGGAGTTAGGGATATGCTTGGGTAATTTTGTTTGAGGCAGTTGAGGGGTATTCCTAGATAGTTGGGTAGTTCGGGTTTAGGGAGCTGAGGGGTATTGTTGGGTAGTTTCGGTTCAGGTGGGTTTTGGGAGTTCAGGGGTGTTCTTAGTGAGTGTGGGTTCAGGACATTCAGGTGTGTTCTTAGGTAGTCAGGTTTAGGGTGTTGCCGGGGTATTCTTAAGTTTAGGGTTTGGGGTTTAGGGTTTGGGGTTTAGGGTTTATGGCCGGATCAGGAGTAGTGCCGACCAGCTCGTGCGGTGGGGCTATGCGCTGACGCCTTGCGGCAGTGAGTTGGGCGCTTCTGCTTGATTGAGGTTGTGTCGCCGGGGGTGCCTTTGCAATGAAGCCCTTATAAGGGTCAACTGTATGGTGCTTGGGGATAATTTTACATTTGCCTTCTTTCCCGTTTAAGGGAACCCTATTCACAAATAAGCGGCTTTAAAGCACCACTCAGTCAAGGGTTTAGGGTTTGGGGCTTTGGGGCTTATAGGGCTCAGGGAGTAACCAGATGGTTTCTCGAACAACAAGCTCCAGAAGCCTAGACGCCCTAAGCCCTATACACCTCAAACCCTATAAGCCCTGTCTGCTATAAGACCCAAACCACAAACCCTACAACCAGCAGGGCTCGGGGACAGGCGAATCCCGCAGCTTGGTTCCACATTGTTGGGGGGGGGGGGAGGGGGTGCTGTTAGCCTGAATCCCCTTAGTCCCCTTAGTTTATATAATTGGATCTTTAGGGCTTACGGTGGTATAGGTCCGAGTTGTTGTGGTATATGCTTTGCAGGGTCTCATTTGTTTTCCTAGAGTGACTTCCGAAAGCCCTGAACCCTAAGTGCGAAATTGTCCTTCGTGGAGACCCAGGAATGGGATGAAGGTCCTCAGCACCTTCGGCCGTAAGGAGGCGGGGGGAAGCTTCAGGTTCCTTCTTTCTTCATTACTTTCCTTCGTTTTGTTCCCTTCTTGTGTGCTCTCTCCTCTCTTTTTCTCTCTCTCTCTCTCTCTCTCTTTCTTTCGTCGTGGCCCTAAACACCATGATCTTGGCCGGAAATAAGCTACTAACGACCCGCAAGACAGAGTCCCTATAAAGGACCCTTCAGCCGCAAGCCCTGACCCCAAACCTTTAGGGTTGAATCCTACACTTAAGGCTGAGGCTCACCTACATGAATGGACCGTATGAAAACAGACCCTAAGGGCAGCTACACCCTCGGCAAGCCTCTGGACTCTGGTAGCAAAGGCCCTGGAAAGCCCCGAAGCATGAGCTTCACAGAAAGCAAGATGCATGGGAAGCAATATATTCTTGAAGAAAGTTCTTACAAATGTCCGACCCCAGACTGACATGAGTGTAGGTCCAAACTCTTAAGGAATGGATGGGGGGGGCGGCTTGTCGCCATAGACGGGCGTGGAGTGGGATGAAAAAGACACAGGGGCCACCAATCATGCCCCTCGAGTCGTGTCATAGCACAATGTACTCGATGAGGCGTTTGGAGCACGACTCTTCAGCCTGCACACCATTCTACGGCAACCCCGCAACCCCAGGCCCTAAACTCGAACTAAATGCCCGGCATTGGGATCCCCCAGCCCACTAATCAGCGTGGCAATTCCAAACCCTGCGTTCCGAACACCTGTAGGGTTCCAGACTTTTTTGGGGTTTGGCGTTGAGGCTTCACAGATTGGAGTAGGGAGCTCAGGGTTTAGGGTTTGGGGGTTTCACCTTTGGTCAAGAAGACAATGTCGCATGATAGCCCGACAAGAAAATGTTTACTGTAGAGGTGGGGTTTAGTAAAATGCAAAGAAATTGCATCGCTCGCTCTACAGGGCCTCTTACCCTAAACCCTATAAACCCTATCAACCCTATAAACCCTACAAACCCTACATGCACCAAGTCATTGCTTGGATTCCATCAGGCCGGCGGCAAGAATCGGATCCTCCCCGGTTGGGAGGACGTCGGCTTGGAGCCGCTTGACAGATGAAGCGGGAGAGAAAGAGGGAGCGATTGAGCAATTCCTAGTTTCTCGGTTTCTCATTCGGCTGGATGGCCGAGAGGAACTCCGTGGTGGCGAGGCTGGGGCTGAAGGTCCACCGGCTGCTCCGGTTGCTGGTGGCGTTCTTGACGATAATGGTCCTGAAGGTCCAGCAGGTCCAGCAACTGCTCCAGTGGCGATGGTGGTACGGGCTGTTCATCTTGCTTCCGCATCGGCGAGGGGCGGCGATGGTGTTGATGGCGGACCCTCCGCTGGTGGCAGCACTGGCAGCACTGACAGCACTGGTGCTTGATGGCGGTATGGCGGTAAGAATCGACGCACCGTGCGTGGAGGGCTGTCTGGTCTGCGAGAACTGCGTGGGATATTTCTTTCGGCGGACGCATCAATTTACGAGTTGGAGCATGTCTGCCATAGGATTTGAGGTTGGTTCTGGGTTCTGGGTTCTGGGTTTAGGGTGTAGTGTTTTTGGTTTAGGGCTTGCGTTTGGGAAGTTTAGGGATCAGGCTTTATGGGTTAGGGGCTTGTGTTTGGGGAGTTTAGGGTTTATGGGTTTAGGGCTTGTGTTTGGGAAGTTTCGGGATCCCAAAGGTTCATAGGACGAATCGGGTATTCATTGTAGAGGCCTGGGTATAAACAGTCATTTGAGAGATGCTTGGAAGGTATACCTAGGGCTTGCCCACGTCTGAGAGTTCAGGGTTCCGAGATTCAGATTCAGGCACGAAGGGTTGCAGCCCTAGACCCGAAACCCTCAAGGCCCTAAAGGCCCTAAACCCTCCCCAAAGTCCCGATATAGGAGGCACTTTAAGGCCCAAGTATTCCTTATTTAGGTACATGGACCCTAAAGGCCCTAAGACCAGGATGCCCAGTAGTGGCCCTGTTCCCTTTTTGGCGGCCCTTGCTAACCCTTTAAGCCGAAAAGGAGGCACCCTTTCTAATCCCAGGTTACTGGGCAACCCAGAAAAACCCTAAACCCTAAACCCTAAACCCTAAACCCTAAACCCCAAACCCTAAACCCTAAACCCTAAACCCTAAACCCTAAACCCTAAACCCAGTTTTGGCCGAGGATGGCAGCCATGCAGCTGCCCATGGGCGGCGTGGACCTGGACCGGATGCGTCTCCGCAGGCCGGCACTTCGTAGCTGAGCAGAGAACCTTAAACTTGAACCTTTTGAGGGTATAATATACATTCCTACAAGAATTGAACCTTAAACTTTATAACTTTTGGGGGTATGTACAATCCTACCAGAATTGAAAAGGCTAACCTTCTTTGGGGCCAGGGTACTCAGGAACTAAGGGGCGCGTTTCGGTTGTGAGGGGGCAGCCATTTTGCCCTCTGAGGTCCCTAAGCCCTCAATAGGGTTTAGGGTTTAGGGTTTAGGGTTTAGGGGTCAGGGTTTTGGGTTTTGGGTCTTTGGGTCTTGGGTCTTTGGGTTTGGGGCTTAAGGGCGATGTCACCTGACTTCTGCTCAAATACAGGTATGAGGGTTGGCTGGATTACCAATTTTGCCCTAGAAACCCGACACCTTGTTCCAAGCGTTTCTGCTCGCATTCGTCTTTGCACTCGTCCAGGCATTGGGTCCCAAAATGTCAGTTCAGGGGTGTTTAGGAGGTTTAGGGTTTAGGGTATCGGCTGCTAGAAGTCTGCAAGTAGCCTTTGTTGAAGATCGGGCCTTTGGCCCCCGAATCCCCCGATCCAAAACGCCACAGAAGACCGACATGCTGGCCTGCACGTGATTGCTTCTTGTTAAGCAGTGTGGCAGCTTTGTTTAGCAAACAACGTGGCGCCCTTAACATATGATAACGTATTTCAATCCTGTACCTGTATCCTTGACGCTGGGTTGGGCAGGGGACATGCTGTCAAGGTAAAGCGCGTCCTGCACCCCCCCCCCCCCCCCACCAAAAAAAAAAATACCCTCTAGGCTACGCCTCAGACTCCCAGAGTACACTCCCCACATGGGACCCTTCAAGGGGCGACTCCGTGACCATCTCATTGACCGACCCGCTGCAGGACCGAACCCTTCAACCCCTCAACCCCTACTTGGGTTTAGGGTTTAGGGTTTAGGGTGTAGGGTTTAGGGTTTAGGGTTGGAGGTTCATGGTACTTATTAACCGGGCTTCTAGCTGTCTTTCTCCTTTTAACACAGGGGGCTAGCTGTTGTGGGTAAAGCCTGTGTGTATATATAGGGTCTATACTTGGAGGTTCATGGTACTTATTAACCAATTCTAACTGAACTTATAACCAACTTATATGCCCGGTAAGTGCCCTAATATGGTTATAAGTACAGTTAAAAGGGTTTTTACTACTGATGGAAGTTGACTTTCGGACCTTCTGGGGCTTAGTTGGGGTTCTGGGGGTTTAAGGGGTCAGGGTTTGGGGGTTTTCGGTAAACGGTTTAGCATTTAGCGCTTGAAGACGGTTTGGGTCTCGCCTGCTGAATGCAGCCGCCACGTTGGGACGATCAAGCCAAGGTGAGGATGCCCTGCTCTTGAACTTACAGCTCTTTTGGGGAATAGAGGGTTTAGGGTTTAGGGTTTAGGGTTTAGGGTTGTTTGGCACTGAGCTGTTGTGGTGGACGGTGATGCAGGTGAACGTTTCCTTGAAGCCGCCACTCAGGCAAAAAGTTCGGAGAATGACGAGGCATGGCACTTATTCTGTGGAGGTCTCGCAGCACGACTCCTGCTGCTCTTGCCATGTCCAGCTTCAGTCCTTTCCTATTCTTTGTTCTGTTGTGAGCTCATAGCAGCACAACGAGAGCTGGAGCGATTCTTGTTCGACTACACGTAATTTGCCAAAACGGTGTGACAGCAAAGTGTCATTGCAGGTTTCTGTATATATCTATGTAAATATACTGCGGAGGCCCATCCTAAAGGGGAATCTTAATCTTGTTGTTCACGATATCGATAGCTGTTACGATCTGCTGCGCCACCAGTATCTCAAACAACAGGCGGCCTCGCTCTAGTATCTAGGGCACCCCCTCCCTTCCCCCAAATAGTTTCGGGATTTTGTGCTCACTCCATAAGCGGGAACTAAACCCTAAACCCCTAAACCCCTAAACCCTAAAGTAGGGCTGGGGGTAGGGCAGGTAGGTGTCGAGGGTGGAGGGGAATAGGGCCAAGCCTGAGCAGCTTGAGGGTCTGCGCATTCAAGGCCTTCTTATTATGTTTTTTTTTGTTCCTTCCCCCCCCCCCCCCCCTGGATTGCGTGTAACCCGAATCTATAGGGGTATCCCGGATGATTTTTCAAAACTCGCACGCTTGCGGGGATGTTATGAACCCGGGTGCAACATGAACCAACCCAACAAAGGGTTGGCAAACCCTTAAGTCTGCTCCATTTCTCACACCCGAGGTGCTGAACAGGTAATCTTTCAGCCTTTTGGGAGTCTAGGGTTCATGGTTTAAGGGTTTCGGGTTTAGGATTTAGAGCCTTTCGGAGCCTTTTCTGGATGATACATGCCACCCTTTAACCCCCCAAAGGTGAATCTTCCGTGTCTGCTCTGAACTCCCCACTTTGCATTATGGGTTTTAGGGTTTAGGGTTTAGGAGATCTTAAGGGAGGGGGGTTCGGGGGGGGGGGGTAGGTACCTAGGAAACCTTAGGGAAGCTTAGGGAGCCTGAGGGAGTACTGGGGATTATTCGGAAACCTTGGGTTACATACCCCCCTTGAACCCCCCTCCCTTAAGAACCCCACAATTGCAGGATCGACTCGCTGAAGGGACCATCAGTGACATGCGGTGCTGCCCTCTGCCACGAGGGAACGGGGGCGAAATTGGGTCGGGCTTGAGAAGTTCTGCGCAAGGGCCTTTCATAAACCCTAAACCCTAACCCTGAACCCTATAGGGCGAATAAACTCCCGACCCTCAGGTTTGGAGACCATTGCTATGCTAACTGTGCCCGGGATTTCGGTTACCCTAAACCATAAACCCCAAACCCTAAACCCTAAACCCAGGGTTCAGAGCAGTTCATGGTCTCGGGGTTTACAAAGGCCTTGGGACGCTAAGCTTACACTGATGCCCCCAAAGCCCTAAGCCCTAAGCCAACCGAAGCGTTCTTTCACCACAACTGCGGAGATGTGGCTTTGGTCTTGGCCTGTAGACTATACTCTCATTATTATCTTATAATCATCCATACTCTCATTATTCTTGTATAATGCTCTATGCTCTCTTGATTATATTATATTAGTCTATACTCTGACTCTCATTCTTCTGATAATCTCTACTCTCGACCTACAATCTGCTTATGGTCAGTGAACCACCTCAGAGCTTGCGCGAGGCCAGGCACGCTCATCGTGCAAATCCGAGGGAACTTCCCCGAGGAGCAACTGGCGCGTATGTGTGTGTGTAGAGAGAGTGC